GTAAAATTAGGTTAGTAACATCCATCCAGGCATCCAGAGATGGACTTTCACTCCTCAGGCAGACTCAGACAGAACCATCCTTTCTCCAACGACAAACAAACACAACTCACTACGGTTAGCTGTGAGAAGAGAAAAAATTAGTTTCTTGAGAGGGAAGAACAAGAGAGAGGTGAGAAAGTAAACAATGTGACTTTCTCACACTTGGTTCGGCCAGCTGCGAGTTGTTTATCAGCAAAGGACCTTGGAAGTCTGGAAAAGGCAGACTTGTCTTAAAAATCACTTGACTTAAGGTTATAAATCACACCTTTGCACGAATGGATTAATAATCCATTATAATTAATCATTAAATCAATTAAGAAAAATGATCAACCATGATTAATAAGCCATTACTAAGAAAAACATTAAAACACATTTCACTCTTTTTTTCTTCACAGTGTTATACTCTGGAATAAAGAGACATGCAAAGATTAAATCATCAAGACTTTGAGTGATGATATATTGATTATAACCTCTATTAGAAAATTAAATGAAATAAAACATATGGAACATAATGTTCCATTCACTTAAAGAATATAGAAACAACATTTAAAATGACTTTCTTCTTATAAGTGTAAAAGCAAATCAAAGACAAAAAATAGAAATGAATATTTCACCAGGGTTACCCCTACAAATGGTACAGGAAACACGAAGGAACTGTATTACTGCTATCAAAACAATAGAACCCTTGCCTCTGTAATATTTGATAAAACCAAATTCTCAATTGGAGGATGGTCCGCACATGACTGGAATGGTTATGCTTGGTACCTAGATAGCACCGGGTATAAACAAGTAGGACATAACTGGGAAGATGTATTCTCCACAACTGATAACACATGGAGCTCCAGTTCCTATGGAACAAGTGATATGGCTAAACGATGGAAAGGGAGAATCAAAATTACTGATACTGCGCAAAGCCTTATACTAGATGTAAACACCACGACCGTTCCTTTCGACAAGCCCATTGGGATCGGACAGTATCCCAATCCACTTTGCCACGCGATAGCCCTATGTGTGTGGCGACCACATTATACCGATCCTTGCGTCACAGTCTCATTTTGCCCTAATCTAACTACAACCGCCTTACTACCCACCATCACCAAAGGTCCAAAGTCCACGTCACCCATCAAGTCAAAAATTATAATAAATCCTACAGTGGACGACTGGTTCAAAGTAACGAAAGGCATTTCTAAAATTAACAATAATTGGTTAGTAATGGCAGAACAGGCTGCAAATGCTTCTGCCCCTGACTGCATTATCTGCATGGGACCCAGGCCCTTGCTACGTGTAGTTCCAGCCTCTATGACCCCTGAGTGTTTAATCCCTGTCATGAATGCAAGTGTTCCAGCAGGAAATTGTTCATTGTATGATCAGATTTATCCCATAACCAGCAAAGAAAAGGAGAAACCCATATTCTCCTACCAGGTCGCTCCTCAGAATTTCACCTGCATCAACATCACTGGGTCTAAATCCATTGGCCTGGTGCCTATTGATTTCTGCAATTGCACAGTAATGGTTCCTGGAACATTTAAACCCCTGTCCCGTAGCGACATCTGGTGGTGGTGTGGCGCCAAGCAGATCTATGACAGGTTACCTCTGAATTGCTCTGGTCTGTGTGCAGCCGTGCCTCTTATTTTGCCCGTGACTATCTTGCCCACAACAGCAGAAGAAGTAATAACTCAAGTTAACTCATTAATTCCA